GCATCAGCAGCGGCACGCACAGTACAGTGTGCACCTACATCATCTGGCGGCATTATGCCACCTCTTCCTCGCTCTCTGCCGTCAGTGCCTGCTGCAGTAATGCAAATCAAAGTCAAGGTAAGAAGCGAAACGATAAAGAAGTGAAAGGCGCGTGTCGATATTCTTCCTCCGTCCACTCGCGGATGGCAATCGACTGTTTTGTCTTCTTCTTCTTCTCCTCCTTGTCAGTGGTGCCACTGTGTTGCACTGTTGCTGTTTCTGCGGTTGGTGCAGCAGACATCAAGCACACATCACTCAGTTGAGTGAATGAATGAAGTGAAATCGCCAGTGATCGACGCAATGGCACATAATCAAGCATACTGGCAGTGGACACTGCACACTGCACACACACACACACACGTTGCCTCCGGATAGCGGTGTCCAATTATACGACGTGAAGATTGCACCGACTGTCTGCTTAGGAGCGCTCTCTGGAAATGCTCACTTTGTCAAATGTAAGAGGCATCTAAAAACGCACTGACTGCAACGCTGTCCTACAGCAGTGTGGCGCTTTGGAGGGTCATTCCAGTCATGGCTACAGATGGAGGAGTATGAGCTGGAGACGCACAGACGATGGCAGATAGTGTTTCGTCTGCGTCTCCGACTTCAAGAGCTGTCGACCGGTCTACTGTTTTCCTTTCCAACTTGGCCATCTCTGCACAGCACATGTAATCGCACAGATGTCGCACCGGAACGTCATTAGAACTCAATCTGAACATCAACTGGCAACTTGAAATTGCTTTTGAGCCAAGCCGCGCCAGTGATGAACACAGACGGCGAATGGAGCAGAAGAAAGGGACGATGTGTGCGTCTGTCTATTGTCAGTTCTGTGCTGTGTGATTAAAATTCAAGATCGACTAATTTTCCGCGACAACAAAGCGATGTTTATTTGTGTGAGTGCACTGATGGGCTGCTACTGCCGCAGCCAGCATCAAAGCATTATTACTAGTGCTACTACAAAGTGAAGATGCTTGTGCCTGCATCGTGAAAAGATGAGCTCAATGGCATTGGACTGCGTGTTTGTATGGTGCCACTTATCACTAGCAAATCACGATTTGTAGATGGCCCTCCTCTGATCAGTAACAACTTTAAATGACTTTCTTTGGACCATATTTTCACAAACAGCAACTCGTCTACAACTGAAAATTGTTGAGTACTTTTGGCAAAAGGAAAATTGATTAGGGGTACCCAGATTAAGCTGATTACTCGAAAAAAGGTTGCACAGAATACTCAAAATCATTCCTAATCACTAGAATAATGGAAATGTTTCGTGCAAATAATCAACCTTTGTCTATTCAACATTACATGATGGCAAATTAAAGTTGAAATGAATGGCGACAAAGGTGCACCCACAATGCAGAAAATGACTATTAATAGGCAGATGAGAGAAAAAGAGAAAAGTGGAATCATTGCTTGACAATGGCATCGCTGACCATCAACATCAGTTACACTGTCAGGTCGCCTAATGAGCGGAGATTGCTTGTGTCGCCATGACAGACAGCCAGTGACCACGATCTCTCTTTCAGCCATTGGCAGTCGTGTCAATTGGCCTACGGCCCACTGAGTGAGCCACGCGGACAAAAATGATGCCCAGTGTACGCAAACTAATCTGATACTGACCTGAAGCTTGGTAGAGTAATTATCATGAGGACTGCCAAACGGAGTCAACCACTGTCAAGTGGTCAGTTTGAGCAGAGACACATCTGCACCGCAATGACACCAAAACATGCACCGATCGTCTTTTGCTAAAGAAGTGCCAATTTGCCAATTGTCTTCTTCATGTGAGACGTCTAAACAAACACTGAACAACAGTGTGCTAATAAAGTGCAAATTGAAGCTCCTCTAACTGCAGTAGCCACTTGAACGACAGTTATTACTACAAAGTAGCAAATATTGATGATAATTAACAATTCGCACAAATCAGTCTTGCGTAAGGGAAATGGGATTGTGGGACAGCACTCTGACGACTCATCGCCGTCTGTTCCTCAGATGATGTGAAGGCATCACCTTCAAGCCAATCAATTCAAACGGCCAGTCGGTCTTCCCCAGCACATATCGCACTGCTGATGCAACGCACCTGGACCGATGCGATGATTGACGGCTCAATTCAAAGGCATTCTAGGTCGAGTGCAGTGACGTGTGCGCATTTGCGGTCATGCAGGCCACATGCTGGCGCGCTAGGATCACTGCCCAGTGACCGACTGGACTGACATTTTCATTTAACTGATTGAACTGTTTAATTGAACTGTCATCAACGTTATTTGGTTTCCCTGAGATAGGTCGACTCCAGAGTATACAGTATTTATTTCCAAAGCACCAGAGCGCGCGCGCAGCCTTGCAAATATCCATTTCCACAGAATCCAACCGACTGCTATTTAGACTGAGGATAACTCGGCAAAGACGAGTCCACTTTGTACGTTTATCAAGCTTGAATCCACTTTATTTGCCGATTCTGGTATCTACCTGAAATCAGACAAGGCACTTTAAATTTTCAATTTTTGTATATAGGATATGACTCAAAATAGAATTTCCTTTTAGTAAATTGGCAGTTTTGTTGTCCAGTTTGGTCAGTTAGAGGGTGAAATTAAATAGTTGATTGAGAAGGTGTAGGCGCTGCGCCCTTGCAAGTGGCCTAAGTGCCTGAGAAGACCGGCCTTAAGCATACTTACCTGGCGGCGGGTACGGGCCTTCAAGCGAGTCCGGCCCCGGGTGGAGTCTGTGCCATTGCACTCCGGTACGTGATGAAGCCCGCCACTGGTCCAAAACGGATCAGATGGGTCGTGTAATTTTTGGTAGCGGGGTTTTGCGTACGCGCAGGCCCCTTTTTTATAAATCTAAAGACAGAACTGCACCCATTTTGTATCAACACTGTTGATCGAAAGTTCCCTTGTGTTCTACAACTTCCTCCTTTAATGATTGATTCATTTCTGCACTGATTTGAGCGTCAATCTTTATTTGGTTTAAAAGCAATACAATTGGTCGAGTTAGATAAAATATAAAAGATGAATGAAGATAAATAATTAAGGATGTTGGTTGGGATGTGGATAAAAAAATNAATGAATGAAGATAAATAATTAAGGATGTTGGTTGGGATGTGGATAAAAAATAATTAATGGCACAAGGAGTGAATAGTTCAAGTTGCGAAAAATGCATCTTTTCTTATTCGTGGCCGTTTTCTTTTGCTTCATAGGCAGCTTGCTTCATATTCATCTCTTCCTGCATCTTTCTCAGCATCTCGTGCATCTTCTGCAGCTCAGCCTGCTTCTCCTGCAGAATTCGGTCCTTTTCTGTTTCCTCAAAGACACTTCCACTTTGAATGCTGATATTATCTCGATTCATGTCAGACTGAAAGGATTGGCTGAACTGACTTCCCTGATTCATGATTCGACGTGAACGGTAGTTTTCGTAGTGAAGCTCATGCGTCAGCTCACGCATATCTTGCATGTGCGAAATTAAAAGCGATCGAAGCTTGACAAAATCACTGTGATCCTACATTCAACAAAATGATTAGTATTTCATTTTGCTTAGATTATAACAACTTACCGGATTTTCAGTTTCGATGATTCCCCAAGGATACTCGCGGCCACGCACTTTTCGCCCCTTGACATCATGAACTTCCAGAGAAGAAGAGACTGCAAACGGCATCGAGTTCTTCAACTGTTTAATATGTTCCTGTCAAAAAAAGTAAAGTTAGTAAAGAGATTACTTAATATTCTTGTACTCGTACCTTAAATTCGTCATCATCATCATTTTCGCAATCCGGGGGAGTGTACACTTGAATTTTGTGAAGCTTAAGCTCTTCAAGTATTTTGGTTTTCAATGCTTGGGCCTCTTTGGTGGTCAAACAGTCGGATTTTGAAATGATGAGAATAACATTTACTTTGAACTGGAGTTTCTTGAGAAACTCCAGATCAGCTGGCTTCAAGCCAAAGTTGAGCGGAGAAATGCAGTAAAAACAGCAGTGCACTCGTGAATCGCGAATTTGACGACGATTAAGTCCATTTTCTTGCTGATAAAAGTTTTCAAACTGCTCATCAATGTACCTAAAAGGAAGTAAATTAGCAAAAACAGGCACTTCAACAAGTACTTTTTCATGACTTACTGCGAGATTGGCTCAAAGTTGTCAGAGCAGTTTAGGGAATCGCCGTAACCTGGAGTGTCAACAACTGCAAAGTACGATTATAAGCAGCTGATAAGCAGTGAAAGCAACAGTAACTCACTTGTCAACTTGAGCCGCACCCCTTTTTCTTCAATATCAACAGACTTTGATTCAATGGAGAGTGTTTTGTTGAGCAACTCCTGGGTGGTCGGGACTTCCTTCTTACTTTCAGGCAAGTTGAAGAGAGACTTTATCAGCGTCGTCTTTCCCAAATCCGATTCGCCCACGACCATCAAAGTAAACTCGTAACCGCGTTTGGCATGTTTTCCTGCAGGCGTGTAAACAAATCCAGTCAGTTCGCAAATTCAAAATGAAGGCAAACAACGCAAGGGGCACTTACTTTGGAGAATATTCGGGAGATTGCCAAAGTTGGCGGCGTTAACCAGATAGTTGGGTGATGTTGTCATCTTGATGATCTCCGCCTGTGGTGTTGCACTGGTTACCGGACACACGAACCAGTGGATGAAATGGTTGGGCAGACTGACAAGCGCGCACAGCACTGCTGAAAGCAACAGAAAGCAAAATCACGATGTCTGCAGCAGCAGCAGCAGCAGCAACAGTTGAAATGCCTGTGCAGCACACTTTTAGCAACCGCCTTTTGTGGCAATAGTGGCTCGTCGGTGGCGCTAACTTTGAACCGTGATGTCAAATGGCAAACAACAAACTCTGCAACGACAAATCCCTAATCGGCAAATGCCATCTTTGGAGTGAAATTTGTTGTTTTTAATAATTTAATAAAATGTAAATTAAAATACAATTTTGAAAAAACACTGGCCTAAACATAGGCCTGTGGTGTTGGGAGAGCTGCGGTGAAGGAGACGCAAGCAATGAGCGGCGCACACACGTCCTCTCTTCTCAGTAAGTGTGCTTCTCCACGAAGTTGCTCTTGTTGGCCATAAAGCTGGCCGGGACGACGCCTGGCGTGTACTTGCCCAGAGTGGCCAACGAGTTGGCCTTCAGGCGGTTTACCAGTTCAGTCTGTCCCTTGCCGACGTTCTCCGTCTTGCCAGCCCAGGCGTTGAGGGCGCTGGTTTGCAGGGCACGCCCAAAGCTGAAGCTGAGAATCCAGGGCTTCTTCGCAGTGACGCGATTGATGGCGTTCAAATTGGCGGTCGCCTCTTCCTCCGATTGCCCTCCCGATAAGAACATTATGCCCGGAACAGCTGGCGGCACAGTGCGAATCAGAGTGGTCACAGTGAACAGGCCCACTTCCTGCGTGAATTGTGAAAAAAAGAGAAGGGAAAAGTGATTATTGTAGTGATTGGTGTAGTGGTTGGGCTCGTGCTGGTAGTGGTAAAGTAGTGTGTGGCAAAGTACTTACATCTGGCGAGTTCTTCTGTGAGCTGGCATGACCGCCGGTGATCATGTTCGGCTTGAGGAGAATGCCCTCGAGAAAGACATTGTAGTCGCTGAGGGCCTTGAAGACAGCGGCGTACACCTTTTCGCTCACCTTCTGGCACTTGTCGATGCTGTGGCTGCCGTCGGAGAGCACCTCAGGCTCGACGATGGGCACAAGGCCGCTCTCCTGGCAGATGGCGGCGTAGCGGGCGAGGCCGTTGCTGTTCTCGAGAATGGCCGTCGCCGAGGGCTCAGTGTCGCCGATGCGAAGGACGGCACGCCACTTGGCAAAACGACACCCGGCGCGGTAGTAGCTGTCACAGCGCACCTTCAGGTCGTCCAGACCCTGCGTGGCCGACTCGCCCCTGGTGCCGAGCAGCGTCACCAGGCCCTTGTCCACCTTGATGCCGGGGATGATGGACTTGCTCTTGAGCACATCAGGCAGAATGCGTCCCTGGTCGTCCTTCTGGGTGAGCGTCTCCTCGTGGAGGATGACGCC